GGTTCTGCTAATAGGGAAACTAAAAGCATATGCTGTAGATATCAGTGAACCTGTTAACAGTAAAAGTTGTCCTTGAGTCTGTAGAGCTCTTCAGTTGACAAGGTCTGAACTACTCAGTGTCACAAGGGTCTGAAGATCCATTTTTTTCCTTGCTCTTGTACAGTTGTCTTGGGCTTCTCAGCCACACATCAATTTGCAGAGGCAATAGGGGTATTCCTTAATCCTCAGAAGTTACAAACCAGGGGGGAGTTTTGCATCATCTTTTTGCCAAACTTGGTCTTTGGCTTCATGTTTCTGTCTCTGTTCCTCTTCCTGATGCTCAGATAACTCCAGCAGCCTCCACTTTATGTATCTGGAGATTCTTCCAAGAGAGGCATCAACAGCAAAGTCCTAGATAGGTCAGGCACCTGTGGGGAAGGGCTGGTGAGGTGTGGGGTAGGTGAAGATCCATCTAAGTATTCTGAGAGAGCACTGTCAGGACTGCATGTTGGCAGTGGAAATGTGAGGAGATGAGAAATGGGCTGGCAGAAAGAAAAGGGAAGAAAAAAAACTCCTGGGGACAGTTAGCAACAAATTCTGCCTCTGGGCAGAATGTGCTCTTGCACATTTCAGAGTGTTCCTGCTTTTGTATGCAGGCAGGATTTACAGCCTTGGGCTTGGGAAGCCAGCGGGAGATGAGTGGATGTGGCACTCACTGTTGGGTTGTGACATGAGGGGAAGGACAGAGAGGCAACAACCGTAATCAGAGCTTCTTAGCTTGGTATATCAAATTATTTGCTAAAACAGGCTCTACCTCACTCCTACACACAATGTGCTTGACTGCTTGATTTTTATATAACAGGAAGCTCTGAAGAGTATGAATTTCTCAAATAGTAGGCAGAGGACAGAAAATCTATTCCTATTCTAATCTATTAATGTGAGGGAGGCAAGAAGGGAGAGGCTCTTTGGCTACAGGAGACGTCACCTTTGCAAAGGTGATACAGATGTTTTAATCTGAATCTTTTATTGAGCTACAGATTTCCATGTGTATAAGGAAGGAGATGTTTGAAATGTAGACCCTGAGAGTCTCACAGGCATCAAACTCAAATTTGTTCAACCGACAGCTCTTTCTGTGAGTAGATACTCCTGCGTGCAGGCACAAGGTAAACAGGCGCTGAGGGGCCTGGTCAGCAAACAAAGAGCAGGATATATATATAAAAAAATGCTATTTCTTCTCTTACTGCTTAGGGGTCAGCCAAGTGTGGTTAGGAAGCAGAGCGACTGTGCAAAGACCTTTCTTAACAGCCTGCTAATGAGGTTTGGTTGCGAATGGGCCTGTGCTTCCCTGTTGGCTGCCGGTCCATCTCTGCAGTTCGGGAGTTCCCATCCCATGGGGATGTCACGCCTTGTCTCATGTTTCTCTAGATGTGGGCTTGGGTTCTGCCTTCTCGCTTAGCATTTCAGCTGACTGTGATGATACTGAGGCCCCGGGTCTCTCTGCCTTTCTAGAACCATCTTGGTCTACCCATGCTCCATATGAAATATTCTCTTTTTCCACGTCTTTCTGGGCCCTCTTGAGCTTTAAAGATCCCTTCTCTCTCCTTAATCAGTTGTCACCTCTTAGAAGCAGGATTTGTGCAGGAAACCAAAGGGAAGCATTTCTGGAGAGCTGCGGCAAAAGGGATCCAATGATGAGAGGTGTCCCTTGGGCTCAGGCATCAAGGCATCAAGGACGTGCGTTTCTCAGCTTTAGAAGGGAGCTATGGGTGAGTATCTCCCTGCCAGTCTGGCAGCGAGATCACAGAGAAGGGAAGGCTGTGGTGAGAGTGCTTTTAGCCCCACAAGGTGACTGCGGGGCCCACGGCACCTGCGTGTGCTCCGAGCTTCGACACCTCCTCAGGGCCGCAGGGCGCGCGGGCCTCCCAGATTCCGCTCCCAGCATCACATTTGGGGTCTGGAGCGGTTTGTTTTGGTGACAAGAGACTGGTGGGGGGGTTATCCCCTAAAACCTGCCAGGAGGATGCTTACTGATAGAATAAAATGGCTGTGGGTATGGGGCAGTATGAATATGAAGCAAAGGCCTGGAAACTCACTACCAGCTAGTGAGTTATTTGGGAGTTATAAAAGGTGCAATTTGGGGTTTCCCCCATTCAGGCGTCACCTATTGCAAAGCTGTTAGGCATGTAGAGTATTTATATGCACTGCACTACTTTTGAATATATTATACATATGTATATGCAAAAATATACGTTATCCTATGTATTGTATAAAGCATAGGTACTAATTTTCAGAATAGTAGGAGAAGTAGCTCATGGGATACACAAATGTATACCCAGTAGAAATTGGCCAAGCAGGTAATTTAGCTAATAATGTTCTTATTTAGTTTTTGAAAAAGATATTAAGATTAGTGTGGTTAGAAAATAGAATGTTAACCTCCTTAACTGAAGCTCCTTTCTTTGTAGCCCTGTGAAGCCTGGAGGCTATCTTTAATCACCTTTAAAGGGTGCTTGTTAAAAAATAAGTTAAATTAAAGGGTGTTTTGGGAAGCATTTCTTTATACATTCCTTGTAGGTGGGGTATTCCTTGTTGGAAGCACGTTCCTTGTAGGTGGGGAAGCCCAGTGTTGTTTGTACCACAGTCCTGAGGCTGGTTAATGTGTCTTTGTGTGCACTGTTTGCATGCAAGTGCATAAAATGATGACATCGTATAGAGTGGGATTAAAAAAAAAAATTGATATTTGGCACTTCTTAAATTCAGGACACAAATGCGATGCAATATTTCTGAGTACAGACGTGGGAAAATTTACTTGAGAAATAAGCAAGAGGAAGTTTTCATGCCAACCCCTTCTAGGAGTTTAATACCTCACATGTGGATCGTGCATGCAGGTTATTTAAAATCACCATGAATATATGTCTTCAAACCCAATTATGTGCCTAGCCGCTTGTCACTGGGGCTAACTCAGGGAGGATCAGATCTTCAAACATACCGTGGATGTGGATAAGAGCCACTTTAGTGTTCACAGATGATTGGAACACGCTCAATGTATTTCTGAAATGCAGGAGAGCAAATGGGGTTTGGATGGTGACGGAGCGATGTCTTCGCTGCACCTTGGAAGATAGCGAGATGGTGACTTTACCTTTGAGTGAAAAGCTCCCTGGTTGGAACTAGGTTTTGGTGTAATATCACAAAAGACAGTGAGCTCACGTGGCCGGTGGGATTACTTCAGTTATAGAAACTACTCAGAGGATTTTGATCCTGCAAATGTGTTTATGGAAGCATATTTGGTGCATACTGTTTTCTTAAGGTTGGGCTGTTTATACCTCTGTGTTGATTTAATGGTAGTTATTTAAAACAGAACAGTAATAGTATTTGAATATTTGGGGCTAGCTGGGAGTACTCTAGCACCACAACAAGAGAAGAAGCATTTCCACAGAAGAAGCGTTTTTCCTCTTCCCTTGGGAAAAAGAGATGCAGGATTCCTAAGGAAAGCTGTCTCTCGGCTGTTTTTTACCACCAAGTTTTCCACAAGCTGCAAATATGTTTTCAGTAATCAAATTTGTGCTAATTAATCCCAAAGCTCTGCTCAATATGGTCAAAAAAAAAAAAAAAAAAAAAACCCAACAACAAAAAGAACACCCCACCACCAACAACAACAAAAACAAAAATTGGAGACAGCAGAACTTGTTTTGAAGGAAGGAGATGCAGCTTGGATTTGCATTCCATTTTCTTGCTTCCAGGGCTTGTGTGGAAACAAGCTTTCAGGGCAAGTGTGAGCAGAAATTTAAGTGCAAGACTAGATTTAAAAGCATACCAAAAAAACTCTTCCCTAAAAAGCATTTAAAACCTAATTTATGAAATATATGTAAAATTACACTATCCATTTCCCTTCAATTTTTCCTCCCTGAATTTACTAATGTGATTAGTACATGTCCCCAAGTGGCTACATGCTGATCACTAACACATACATCTTCCCACACAATTTTATTTAAAATGCCGCTTTTAGTTCCCCAGTAGACACTCAGAAGAGGTAACACCTGATCTACAAAATACCCTCTAGAAATGGAGGGGGAAATGCTTCTCCGTGCCGCTTCCCTAGCAGCTGTTTCATCCTTAATTGCACAGCGCTTGATATTCAAATATTAAATGCTTTGAAACCAGGGGGTTGAGATATTGACACAACAGAAAGTCCAGGCTGTCTCGGTCGGGGCTTTGGGCCGGCTTCGATCGGCCGCTTCCTGCGCGTGTGGGAGGCAGGACGGTCGGAGCAGCCGAGTTGCATTTTCTGCTGGGGGTTTCTGGCTGTTTATAGACATTTGGGGCGACGAGATGACTCACAGCTTGGTGAGGGCAGTACCCAAATGGCATCATCTGCCGTTTGCTCCTTGTGCCAGACCGAGCGGAGCGGAACACGAAGTCTCCCTTCCCGGGATGCCCCTGGGGCTCCGCTTCCCTCGGCACGTGACAGCAGTTCCAGGCAAAACTGCTTCTTGGGGAACAGAAAGAGCTGAGCCGAAAACTAAAAAGAACATTTCATCATGTGCTCTGAATGCTTCTTCTTTCTCTTTTGCTTCAAATATCTCTTGAAGCCGCTTCAAGTGTATATTATCATTACTGTAATTATTATCAATCAATTAATTTAATAAATAAATAATAGTACAATCAAGAAAAAATATTTTACTGGTTATTATTTTATATTTATATTATTTTATGTAGAACAAGGGTCAAAATTAAGATAATAATGACAATAAAAAGAAAATTAAAAAGCAGGGAAAGGAGCGAGGAGAGGGCGTGGCTAATAGGGAGAAGGGGCGTGGCTAGCAGGGAGGGATGCGGCTATCAGACGGAGGGGGCGTGGCCTGGGCGGGGGCGTGGTGGCTGGAGAGAGGGGGCGTGGCCGGGGAGGGGGCGTGGCCGGGCGGCGCGGCGGGCCCGCGGCAGCGGCGGGCGCGGGCTCAGGGCGCGCGCTCGGGGCTCTCGGATTCGGGATTGGGATTGGGATCGGGATTGGGACCGGGACCGCCATGGAGGCGGCGGGACGGCGGGGCCGCGCCGCCGAGGAGGCTCCGCGCCCCGAGGAGGAGGAGGTGGATCCCCGCATCCAGGTGAGCGGGGGGAGGGGGTGCCTTAATTAAAAAAAAATTATATATATTTCCATTTTTAAATTCCAAATTCCTATAGATACCGCTAATACCAACGCATATATTTAAATGCCTCCGGCGGCGGCCGCAGCGCCCGCGTCTCGCCCGCCCTGCGGCCCTTTGTTACCCGCTGCCCCCCGAGGATGTTGCCGGCCCTCCCGGCGGCGCCTTCCTTCTTTCCCCCCGTTTTTCCCCAGCTTTTTATGTTATTTTTCTTTCGGGCCGTGACGGCGCGACCTTGTTGGTGAAACGGGGCTGACGCTGGGGATTTCAGCGGTGGTGGCGGGAGGAGAAACAAGCATTTAATTAAATTAAAGAAGAAAAAAATGAAAGGAAAAGGCGCTGCAATGGAAGGTGGTGTTTGCCTGCTGTCAGTGCCCTGGAAGTGCTCCTTGTTCTGCCCTGGGCTTCAGACAAAGCTTTTCCACCCCCATATCATGCTTTGACCTTTATTTGGTTATTATTATTGTGCTCAGTGTGCTCTGTCTTTCCCGCTCCCCAAATTAACCATATTTATGGGTGTCTGCACCTATATATATATAGATAGATAGATAGGTAGGTAGATGATAGATAGAGGGTTGTCTGCACCTATATATGTGTGTATATATATATATATATAGGTGTCTGCAGATTGACGGCTCTTGCCTGGGCACCATAAGCATGTGTGGACGTTGCCGCAGGGCCCTCTGTGCCGAAATCCCCCTCTGCTCCCCATCCTGCTTTTGGGGGGCAAATCCCCCCAAACTCTGCCTGGCCGTGGAGGCCCTCGCCCCCCGTGCAGTCCCGATTCCAGCGGGCCGGATCCGTGGGTCTGGTTTTGGCCTCGGCTGCTGCTGGTCACGAGGCGCTGCCCCCTGCCCAGCCTGCACGTGCCTTGAGAAAAATGTGGGGTCTTGTTGGCTTGGCCAGAAATTTTGGCCCCAAAATATTCTTTCTGCACTCACTAGAGTCAGGACTTCCTTACCCTTATGGCGAAAAGCAACTGGGCAATTTCTGTACAAGCTTTGGACAACGGGAGCATAAACATTTATCCCCAAAATCCCAGAAGCTGGGAATGAAATCTCTCCCCAGGGGCGAAGAGGGGTTGGAATTCGTTCCTTTTTGGTGGTAACTGTTGTAATCTGATGGGAAGTAGCTGGAACGACAGCCAGCTTGCAGTGTTGGTATCGGGATGGGAAACCTCCAAGGCAGATCCTGCAACGCTGGTTGCAAATTAAATACCAGTTCACTTAGGGACGATTCCTGCCGCCGTCGTAGCATCGCGTCTGGGTTAAATAGCGATATTGGCCTCCGCTCCCCGGGGTTGTTGCTTTTTGTGGTTAGAAAGCCATTAAGGACAAGCGCTGTTTTCTACAACAGCTCCCTCATGCCAGCACCACCTCTGGTAAATATTTATTTAAGGGATTCAACCCCTTGGCTTTTGCCATTGGGAGAGCAAAGCGTTGGCACGAAGGCTGCCCGAATGCATGTGGTCGCGTGGGGTCCTGTGGACTCGCTCCTTGTAAAATGGTTTGCCAAAATCCAGGGCAGGCGCCTCCTTCCCGCAGTCCTTGTCCCGGTCGCCTCCTGCGAGATGAGCAGCCTTCCCCTACCCCCTTGCAAAGGGCGCTCGGTCCATGGACAAGCCAGAAAGGATCCTGCCCTGGGTTTATTATTTAATAACCAAGCATAGGCCAGGGCAGGAAATGCGCTGCCTTAAAATAAATCTTCAGAGCCTCTACTTAGGTGGAAAAATAACCAGAGCAGCGTGAAAGGCCAGTGGCAATAGTTGATCTAAATGCCTTGAGTTTTCCTTTTTTCACTGAATTTGTAAGCTCAGCCTCTGCGAGCTTTCCAGGGGGTCCTGCCTTATAAATCTTAGCTTAATGCTAAGCTTCTCAGATTGCTTTTTTCTTCCTTGTTTCTCACTGTCTGTTTGGCTTTTTCTTTCTTTCTAGGGGGAACTGGAGAAACTCAATCAGTCCACGGACGATATCAATCGCAGAGAGACAGAACTGGAGGTACAGACTTCCCTCCATCCTTTCCTTCCCTGTGTGCGTGCTGTGGCTGTGTGCGGCAGGACAGCATTTCCCTTAGCAGCCCCCGCTCTGGCTGGTTCCATCCCAAGGGATAATTTGGCAGCCAGGAGCTGGTAGATAAATTTCCAATGTGCAGGCTGTGGAGCGACGCTGACAATGTGAAAGCCGCAAGCGGAGCGCTCAGCCCCCCGCTGCCAAGCACTGTTTTTAGCTTCTGAAACTAAACTTAGCCAAGTTCTGTTCTAAGTGTCCCTGGTTTAGGTTCGTGATCTTAGGCAGCGAAAGTGCCTTTGGTTAAAACGTTTTTAATCATAGGGTTACGAGCCAGGCTCTTCCCAACTCTGTTGTTTTTACTTGGCGGTGTTTTTTTTTATTATTATTTTTGGTCATTGCATTCTCCATATGAAAGGTAATTAAAGGAAGTTGGAAAGGCAAAGGAATTGAAAGGTTTGTGAGTCAAAGGAGAAGGATTTCTTGGGCATCTGAAAATCCCCAAGAGTAAGCTTTGCAGAAGTTGCTTCTAAAGCCCCAAATTTGAGCATGTAGTGATTGTGTGGTTACAGGAAAATTATCATGAACAGCTACTTTGTATTCAAAGTAGCTATAGTAACATTTGAAATTTCAAGGGAAGTATTTTAAATAGTGCACTAGAGCACATTGAAAGAGACTGCAGTGGTGAATATGATTAAAAAAAAAAAAAAAGTCCCCCTATATTTATTCTGCATCTTAAAAATGCCAAAATCTGTGTTGATTTTTAGATCTGGTTGCTGATGGCTTGAAACCTACCGGGCTGAATTGTGCCAGTGGGATAAATCCTGAGATGGGTACCTGGCCATGGGGTTTCCAAAGGGTTTGGGATGTGTCACCTGCTGCCCCGAACAGAGCCGGGACAGGCAGTGGGGTCCCCGCTCCTGTGGGGACTCTGCAGCCCTTCCTGGCGGGACTGAACCCTGCTCTTTCTTCACTCCTCACTTGTTTCCCTTTTCCGTCCTTGTCCGCACGTAGATGGCAGTGAATTTATGGGCGAATAAACTTGATGGAATGGAGGACTGTTTGTTATGCAAAATGAAGCTGTATTTCAGCAGCAAAACAGTTCAGTGCTGCTGAATTTTATGAAGGAACTTTAAAAAATATATATTCCACAGGATCTGTTAAGTTCTAACAGTCGCAATTTAATGGTTTCCAGGTTTCTTCAGGAACAGTGCTGCCTTGACAATATATCTGTCTTTTTCAGTCTCCTTATTTCATGCTGAGGTACTGAAATCGAAAGATAATGCTATGGATAGTTGCCTGGATTTCATTAATCTTGTCATAACCTGGCATTAAGAGTGTATTATGAAGCAGACGGAATAGTAATAATAATGCAAATGCAGGCTCATGGCATAAGTCCCAGTGACTAAGATGGGACTTCACAGCTTGCTTGAAATTATTTATACGCTCAAGTGTTTGTGGTACCTGGAGATTTGTAGCTACCCTGCATGTGACACGTGCAGCTCCAAATGCCAAAGTGCTCCCATGTCTAAACACACCAACACCTCTGCAAGAGGAAGTCTTTGCCCATTAGCTTTTCTTTTCTATTTATTTGTTACTGCCTACCTCACCTAATATAAGAAATACTTGCAGATAAGACAGAAAACAACCATTTATATGATGCTGTCTGCCTCTGTTCTGCTCAGGTCTGTAGGTAGTAATTACTATAAGCAGTACTGGATGGAATTAAATTGTAAGGTCCTAGATGGTGTGTCTCTGTGAATGTTTCTTCGCTTTTCATCCAAAATCCATCCAAATTGGGTTGAAGCCAGTTTGTGGTATCACACAACCGCAAATTGTTCACCCATAAAGATTTTCCGTATTTTTGATCTGCTCCAATTTTGAAGGAGCAAGGCCAGCTGGTATAAGCAAGCCTTAATTTACCTGTTAAGTGCTTTTCTAAATGGACTTGGAATTTTTATAGACGAAAGACATTTTACAAAAAAAAACCCTCTTCCATGGTTAGAAAAAAGCCAGTGTTCACACTATAAATAAGGCTTGCTCTGCAAAGCAGCCTTCCAGAACTAAATCCAGAACTGGGGAGGAGGAGTTTGGAATTGAGGCAGTTCTTCAAAGACCTCTAGAGCCCTTGAATGCTGCTAAAAATGTGGGCCCCTGGGAAAACCCTGTTGGGTTTGCATTTGGAAATTTGTTATTTTGACTCTTACTAGTTGCTTTAGTTACCATTTCCTCGCTTGTACTGTTGCTGCTATTGCAGAGTATTTCATTAGGAAAAAGATTTTTTTTTTTTAACAGACAATGGAGTTATATTTATCCTGGTCTTGCATTATTATTTCCTTTTTTTCCTTATTATTTTCCTTTTATTTATTATTTTTAGTCCCTGATCATAGTTAAAACCGTAACAGAGACACAGACAGGCTATTTCCAGGAAAGTAGTAAGCAGCATCTTGTGGTATTGCTTTGTGGTCCACACCTTTTCACCGCTGAAGCCTCTCAGAATAATCTCAAAAAGTAACCAGAGGGTTTTATTTCTGTGAAGGAAATTCAGAGAAAAAAAAAAAGCACCCAAAATACATGTTTTTGTGACTTGATGTACTGTCTGATAAGCAGGAAGAGTAACTCTGCAGTGTCTAAATGCTGTGAGTGTGTTTGGGACCTCCTGTAGCTTTGCAAAACTGGATTACTGAAAGTCAGGTCCCACTGACAGGAAAAAAAAAAAGCTGCAGGTGTTAAACGCCTCTGAAAAATCAGGCTTTTATTCTCTGTGTTTGCAGGTTCACATCTGAAAATGGAAACAGAAGTGCTCTTCTTACCGAGTGGGAATGTTATGGAGCTAAATCGGGGGATGCTTCTAGGATTCAGAGATGCTCTGGTGGCAGCCAGAGACATGTCAGTGTTTGACTGATGGAGATTATATTGGAGCTGGCTGTGCAGAGAGGTGGTAAAAGGAGGAATCCTCTTTAAACGAATAAGTCTGCCTTCTATTTTTTGACAAAAAAAAAAAAGAAGATTCTGTGCCCAAACCTCTATGTAAGAGGTGTTGGTTGATGTGTGGCATGGCTTGAAAAATATGGTGAAATCATCTACCTCTGTCCTTGTCGTTTATTTTGAGTGCTGTGAGTAATTACTTTTTTTTTGCTCTCTTGACCTATTGCATTAAATCCTGGAGGAATACGCTGACCTGATGGTGCTCACAGGCTGTTGAGGACCTGCGGAGCCGATAAAGGGCACCGAGTGGCTGCTGGTTAAATGTTGCTCTAATGTATTGCCTGTTAATAGATCTTTGATGAGGCTTGATTGAAAATCCATAACGCTGCTGGGAGGAGGGGGACACGGAGCGTTACTGACCAGCAGAAAAGACCAGGAGGGTCCTCTGAGGGGTTTGACACGTGGCTTCCCTGGTGTCCCGGCTGGGCTCTAAAGCGGCTGTGAAGAAGTGCAGGAAGGAAACGCCTTGTGCCGAAGATGTGACTCTGTTTTGGCCAAATGTGCCTTAGAGCAGTGTCTTGGTGCTTGAGCTATTTTTTTTTTCCCATATTTTTCCTGTTTATTGGAAATGTGTCTCCTGCATTCGGGTCAGGAACTGCAAATGCACTTTCCGAAGTGTGTGACCCTCCCAGCCAGCCAACTTAGATGTGTCTTTGTCCTAAAAACACAGCTCAGATAGAACAGATTCCTGTGGGACCCTCCAGGCAGCCTTACGGGGGGAAATACAGCGCATACCATCCAAATGACCGCTGGAATTCCAGCAATCCCCAATGTGTTTTGTGTCAGAGAGCATTGCTGGCGCTGCAGGCTCGCCGGTGTCTCTGCGCTGTGTGAGGACTGCACAGGGAATCTAGGGCTGAACAGTGTTTTCCTTCAGCCCCGCTTTGCTGCAAGCGAGCCCTGAGCAGGAGCTTCCTCATACACTCGCCTAGGTGCTTGTGGCCAGATCTGCAAGGTGTCCTGGTGCTTTTGGTCCTGGGCTTCTCTTAAAGGTCACACTGGATCACGCAGGAGAAGCGCCAGCAGCCCCCGTGTCCCTCCTCTCGGGAGCTTTGGCAGCATTTGAGCCCCTTGGAAGAGGAAGGGCTGATTTACTGCAGACCTTGCAACGCTGCCAGTGGGCCTGTTTGGGGGGTTCAGGTTTTCAGGAAGGAACCCGTCCCACCCAAGGATTTCAAGTGGCCTTCCCGTAGCTTCCTCCTCCAAAGTATTTGGTGTGTGTGTGTGTGTGTTTTTCCCATCGGAGATGGTGCAGAGAAGGGAGGAGGAGCTCCCGGCGCGGCCTCGGTGCTGCCATTGGGGCTGAGGGGTTTTTGTAAGCGGCCCCTTGGGCTCTCTGCAGCCCCCCTGCTCCCACAGGAAATGGCTCTTGCGTGTGGCCTTGGTTGTTCTTCCGTTTGCTTTTGCCTATGGATGAGTAAGGAAAGGGTTTTCCCTCCGCCTTAGCTCCGGAAAGGTTTTGTGGCCCGGGTGAGTCAAAGGGCTTTACGACGTGGTTTATGCTCTTGAATCAGAGAGGAGTTTCTCGCTCAAGGGGAACAGGCAGCGTTAGCCAGAGAAGTGGGTTTTGGAGGCCCTCCCCTGCTTGCCCTGCCTCCATCCCTCCCTTTGCCCCCTCTTTTAAGAGGACTAAAAGACCAAGTATATTACTGTCAGTCTGCAGCTGTCTGCAAGGAGGCTAGAGCTGCTTCCAAACACCCATTTTAATTCTTCTGAGGTGGCAAACTAGCAGCTCTGTGAACAGCAGGTATCTTCTCCTTGCTTGAAAAAAAAAGTGGGTTGCTTACTTAACCCCTTCCTCCCACTTATTTTTAAAGGTTTGAGGCTTGTTTTGATTTATTTGGACTGCTGAGGAACCATGTAGATGCTTAAAAACGTCCGTAAGGTCCCCAGCCTTCCGAGGCTGGTAGGGCCTCGGCCGAGGAGGGCAGGGTGTTGAGCACTGCCCGTCTCTCCGAAGGGGATGGTGACAAAAATACCATTTTGCACATAAAATGCTGTCCTCCAGCAGGTGCATTTTATGTGCAAAGTGGTATTTTTGCTCCCTTCCCTGTGGGAGCGTGGGATCCCCTGTGATCCCACCCAGGCTGGATGAAGGGCCTGTTGTTGGCGTGGCCCCTCGTGGCCCCTCGGCACGTGGCTGCAAACACAGTGTGCTTTTCATCAGGGACTGCGGCAGGAAAAGGGTGTGTGGGGTGGGAGCCCCAAAACTGCTCCTGTGCTAAGGGCCTCTAGGAGAAAAGGTTACGGGAAGAGGATTCTTGCAGCCTTAGGGGGAAAAAAAGCTGCAAAGTAAACTGCAGTTGTCCATGTGGGATGCACTGAGTGCTGGTGATTGTTTTTTGGCCTAGCCTGTTGCAGTTTACCTGCTCTGTGCATGTGTTTATTTCCCATAATGATGAGAAAAACATCACCGGGTGTTTTTTTCTTTTCCCTAACACCCAGAAATGGAGAGTTTGTGCCTGAGATTACACACTTTTAATAATCACTAGCCTTTGTGTTGGGAAAGGATCTTTTTTGAGGGCCTGAAAGAGGAGGCCTGCAATTTCTTGGGCTTTGCATGCACTTGCTAGGGTCTGGCTGCAGCCGGAGTTGCCCTCCTGAGGAAGCTCTTCAGGTGGGTGGTTTGGAGACAGGGCCGCTGGCTTGGCACAAATGCAGGAGTTCCCTGAATTTGGGGATCACAGGGAGAACGTGTTGGTCTCTGAAGTGAGTGTCCTTGGAACAAACACCCTTACGAGGATTTGTAGCTTAGAGCTACAATCCGTGCAGGGTGGCGGAGTGTTTTGCTGATGGAAGCACAGGAAGGAGTTGGGGATATTTAACCTGGGAATGGGATGCCCTTCCTTGGCAGGGCTAATAAAAGCAGCACAATCACAGTATGGGAGAGGAGAGGGCTTGGGAATGGTGTTATCCCTCCTTGGCCTTGGCACCTTGTTGGGGAGTCCAGAGGAGATGGCTGGAAAGCTGTGGATGTGACTGATGCGAGCGGAGTGTGAGTTTTCTCTGGAGAAGAGAAGGCTGAGAGGGGATCTGATTAACATGTATACCTTCATGAGGGGGAATGTAGGGAAGAAGGGGCCAAGCTCTTCTCAGTGGTGGCCAGGGACAAGGGGAAATGGGTGTAAGTTGAAACACAGGCAGTTCCATCTCCATGTGAGGAAGAACTTTCCTGTGAGGGTGACAGAGCCCTGGCACAGGCTGCCCAGGGAGGCTGTGGAGTCTCCTTCCCTGGAGATCTTCCAAACCCATCAGGATGCCGCCCTGTGCCCCGTGCTCTGGGTGTCCCTGCTGGAGCAGGGGGGTTGGACTAGATGATCTCTAGCGGTTCCTTCCAACCTCAACCATCCTGTGATTCTGTGCGTGTCTGTCTGCCCTCCTGTGCAGAGTGTGGTGCAGCCTCCGGGCTTCTCTTCCCGGCATTCAGGTGCTGGAGGATGCACAGGCCTTTCAACATGCCGCATGTGGTGGGTGACACTGGGACAGTCTTGGCAAAAACAAGGATGGCTGGCATCGGGTGAAGCCTCAAATTTCCAAAGTGGCATTTCTGGAGGAAAAATAAAAAGCACAACTTCACTCCCATATATTCTTAAGCCAAAGCTTCCTATTTTGTGTAGCTGTAGTTCTCGTGCTGAGGGGTGCTGTGCTTTGGGGTAAAGCAGTGTCCGCTGGCATGGTGAGACCTGCTGGAGGGTTGGTCAAAGCTGGTACCTGGGATGCACCTTGTCCCAACTGCTCGGACACCCCTGGACCCTCCTCACAGCTGCCATCAGTGGGGCAGCCCTGTGCCTGGGGCCTTTGCTTGGGTTTTCCTCTGTCTTTTTAATTCCAGGTGGAGACCTGTTGTTTTCTGGTGGGGTAAGAGTACGTGTACAGGAATAAAATTGGGTTTTGTCTCTATATTCAGATTTGTTAGTGATAGTGCCAAGTTGCTGTCGACAGGTCTCTCTGTTCCAAGTGCTTGTTGTATGGACATTGGAACGGGGATTTTTTGATATATCATTGCTTAAGGCTCCCTTGGCTTGATGTATACACAGACTTATATTTTTCTTACACTATTTACTACCTACAATTAGTATCTAGCTATGCAGCTTTCATGGAGAAAAGGAAAAACAACCTCCCAGGCACTCTCACTTAAAAATAAGTTTTTAATTTAATTCTTGTGCTCGCAGGAAAATAATTTTGATAAATATATTTCCACACTATTTTCTCTTGTATTATAGTAGTCATGCTTGCAGTCTCCTTTCAGTTTCTGTGAAACTCGTTTGGAGCAGTGAAGCACATATCCTTACACCTTAATGAGCAGTGCTCAACCCTTTCCCATTGAGAAAGGGTGCATCGCTACGTATCGCTCGAGTGATGCACTTTGTATTTTTTCTAAGTAAAGAGATTATTTACTGAGTTGGAGTTATGGGAATACCAAATTAATGTGGGCTTAACTCCCCATTTTGACACTTTTATCCACCTGAAAATTTCCTTAGAATAAAATGGAATATCTTAAGTACACAGAGCTATTTGCGTTGGACAAAAATATTACTGGTTCTGATTCAGGTTTTAGATGCCACTGAAAAGCAACTAAAACAGCTTTTACTGCAGTTCTCTGTAAAACTACTGCCTTGTTGCAGCTGTTGCCTGCTTCTGTGAAGGCAGAGGCAGGTTCCAATGGATTTTAATTCCTCCAATGAAGAAACAGCTGTGCATTCCAGAAATCCTCAAAAATTATGCCCAAAACCTGCAGAATTAGAGCACTTCTTTAAACCAGCTGCTTATTGATAGTCAGCATGTTGCTCCAGCGGGCTGCCTAAGTCCTGCTCCCTAATGGGGATTACAGGATTTGTCAAGAGCTCACGTGGCCCCTTCTTCCCGGCCTCCTTGCATCCAGGGCCAGAGCCCAGGCTGGATTTGCATCTCTCTTGGTCTGATGTAATTACATGGAAAATAGAATCTCATATGGATGCCAAGATTGGAGTCAGCATCACTTTGCTTAAAAGGTGTGGGGATTTCATTGGAATGGAAAAGGTGTTTTATTTGCTGGGGCTACTAACATAATGAGGGCTCAGCCAGTGTGGAAATAGTTGGAACATAGTTTTTTATAAATAATAAGTCATGGCAATCAAATGGAAATTGTCAGTTTACCCATTGACAAGCCAGATACCACTGCCCTGCAGATATCATTTCCCAGTGACATTGGAAGTGTCCAATCATTCCTGCTGAGGAATCCAGGTCCTGTCCGTCTTTCTTTGGGGTCTCTGGGAACATGGGTGAGAGTCAGGAGGCGTGCTGAGGTTTGAGGGATGCTGGTTCCTCCTGCAGTTGGTAAGAGCTGAGCTGCCAGCCTGCAGTGAAAAAAAAAAAAATCCTTTTTGGAGAGTGCAAGGCCAAAGTTGGACCCGTGAATGTGTGATCCGTGCTCCTGAGCCACCCCGAGCTACAGGACAGGGCAGCAGGGCAGGTGTCTTTGCCACCTAAGCCTCTTTGAGAACTTGTTGTGCTGCTCTTTGCCTCCCACTGAGGCTGTTTCTGAACTCTCCAGGAAAACCTTCCAGAGGTGACATCTAGCACGGGCTCTTGCAAGCTTTGTATAAAAACATTGCCTCTGAAAGACAAAAATGTGACGTTCAGCAGGCGAGCTTTCAGATGCAGTTCTGAATCCCTGTTACTACCTCTGCTGAAGACATCTGGCTTAATCCAAATAACAGTGACTGTTTTGAACGTATTGGCTTGTGTCTGAATCTAAACAGTAGCGTGAAGATAGGAACAAGCTAGGAGAAATAGCAGTTTTAAAGCTCTAATTCTTCTTTCTCCTTTCTCTCCTTCCCCAAACTTGCTAACATTTTGAAGGATGCTCGCCAGAAGTTTCGCTCGGTGCTGGTTGAAGCAACAGTGAAACTGGATGAGCTCTTAAAGAAGATTGGCAAAGCTGTAGAAGACTCCAAACCGTACTGGGAAGCTCGGAGGGTGGCCAGACAGGTGAGAACTTTCTGCCTTATAAGCTCATGCTGGAAGCTGGATAGCACAAGTTGATTGCATCGCTTTGGGCTATTAATAAAGTCTTAAGTGTAAGCATTTGGCTGACACTGGTCTTGATATCAGCCATGTGACGTCCTGATATATGGGTGTCAGCCATGTGAATCTAGCAAAATCTGATCCTTCCCAGCCACAGCTGCACGTGTTCTTCAGGAGCAGCTGTCATTCTTCAGTAGCAAAAGCCCTGTGCTCATTAATAGCCACCTTTCTGAGCCCTGCTTTTACTCTTGGTGGTTGTAATTGCTTGGAAACGTTGTAGAATTTGGTATCTGCTTATCTCCTTGCAAAGCAAAACAGTGAGCTGCTAATGGCTGCAACTGGGAACCACTGGGAAAGGGATTCGAATGGGACAGAGCTTGATGCTGACTTTGTTGTGTTTGGGCAGGATTGTGCAAAATTTGACTATAAAGTGTGTTGGTACTGTGAGAAACCAAGGTCTGTCATCTGGACCTTACCTGCCTTGCCCAACCACCAAAGCAAACTTGAGTATTGACAGGGACCAAAAACTGTTCCTTGTTTGGAAAGAGGGCTCTGTGTGGCTAAAGCAGGGAAAGACAAGGGTTGGGAACAGAGGTGGGATCTACTGGATGTCAAGGAAGCTTGTAAAGTGTCAGGCTGCTTCTCTCCTTAGGAAGAACCGGCTGAGACTCGCATGTGTGGTGACACAGGCCATGCTTCTACTGGGTGTCCGTGATGGGTTCTGCTGGTTTCTGGGGGGCGTTTGTTTTCTCCCCCCAAGGTGGGAGGCTGTTCTTGGGTGCTACTTTCTAAATGCTCTGAAGGCAGCGAGGGAGGAAGGGGGAAGAGTTGGTTAGAGCTTCTACTTCTGTGCCCAGCTGGAAGGGTGGCTGGGTTGTCCGCTGTGCCTGGGTAACTGGGATGTGATTGTGTGCACAAAATAGTGGGAAAGAGAGTGTGTGAAATCTATGAAAATTATATGATGAAGGCTTAAAAATGGTAGGGACTCAGTTTGAGGTGGGGAGAGGGGCTCTGTAGGTGTCTGCCAGGATGCAGAAAATAAACTCACAGCGTGCAAGAGAAAAGGGGAGAGAAGAGAATATAGCCTAAGAAAAGTCACAGGAGAGGGAGACGTGGTTGCAAGCTTGACTGCTTTAAAAAATGTTAAAGCAGGAGATTGGGTGATTGGATGCAGCATACTGGAAAAACATATGACCCTTTTGATTCTAAATTGCATAAACGATGGTTTTGGTGCTCTTGTCTCATTGTGGATGATATTTGGGGGAGTGGGAGGTTAACCCTTTAGAGTAGAAACAGGATATCAAACAGGTAAGCTGCACTTCGAAGTATAAAATTCACTGTTCATCTGTAACTGGTCCAGAAGCAAATTGTGCTCACAGAGCTTATGATAGAGACAAATCTTCTAGAGAAAGTTGGGAAAAGAATCAGTTCAAGGAATCATTTGCATAAATTGTCACAATGTGAACAATGTAAAAAGGCCTCAGGTATGGTCATGTTCTTGTCTTACTAGGAATAGCTGTGTAAGAGGTGGACTACATAAGGTTTCAGGAGCTATTCTTGGAAAAGTCAGTAGTAGAAACACGCACTCTGAAGTGCCAGAAAATGAGGACACTTTGGACTGTGAAAATCAGGCACACAGAGCAGTGAACTTTGTCCTCTCTCTTGCAGTTGGCTGCAGATTGTATCTGAAGGTGGCATTGTAGAAAAATGGGAATAGCTTGATAGCTTTCTATTCAGTTTCACAGAACGTCTTGCTTGCAAAGATCGTCCTCTGCTTTCTGTAAAACTTTCAGAGCCATTAGCCCATTTCTGAAAATAGAGATAAGTTCTCTGTGCGTGAAATAGTTTGAATTAAAAGAAAAAAAAAAAAGAGGAAAAATGCTTGACTGTGCTCATAGAAAAGGGAAGTTTTCTTTATATTCTTTTGTTGTCCCTAAAGGGAAATAAAAATATGAACTACTAGCTGAGGTCTTCTGAGAATGAAGAACTGCCTAACTAGTGACATGTAGCTTGGCAGAAATGTCAGTGTCGTCTTGGGTTACTGGCGTTCAAGGTGCTGGTTGCAGGGCAAGTTGTGTAATACAAGCTGCAGCAAGTCAGTTCTCACATGGCACTGCTGTGGCTCTCTTCTGGAAATACTTGTTTCATCTATTAAGATAAAATCCATTAAAATGCCATTTTGATGATGCAAAATGGATCAGCAAAACTGACCGCAGTTCAAGTGTTTCTTTGGGGAAACTTTCAGCTTTTGAGCCCTTTTGTCTTCTCACCCTTATCCTTACCTTGTGCAATCCTGCATTGGCAGGAGAGCGTGAACGTGGAACAAATCAGTTCTCCCAGGCAAGATTATCTTGCAGGAGCATCTTGTTTATGTAGTGCAGGCCAGGAGAACTTCAGCTGGGCCTGCCTTGGGATGCAACTTGACTGTGACACAGAAATGGCCCCTCACTGTTAGGATCTGAGCGCTCTGTGCTCTGCAGTGTTGGCACAGGGAACTTAGGCTAGTCTGGAAATTAGCCTCGTCTTGCCCAGCAGTAGTGGGAGAGAAGGGTGAGGGCAACATTAATAATTGAATCAGCCATGTAGGTCTCGAGCCTCTGCGGTCAGGAGGGTCTTCAGCCCCTGCCCACGTAGCGCTTAGTGGCGCCGGGCAGGGTTCCTGCGTGACGGTGTCGGAGCAGGTGACGGAGCTTGGGAGAGGTGCGTTGTGTCCCTGGAGATAACGCGCTCCATGAGAGGATGCCAAAGTGAGCGTGGCCCGTTGCATAACCCTCCCTGCGGTTAGGAGCCAGTCTGTGTTGCTGCACGGCCTGGATGAGCTATTTCATCTCTCAGCTCCCATGGAAATTGGAGCTGTCGAGCCTCGGCGAAGCCAAGTTCATTAAGGGAAGTAAAAGGGCCTTGGGGTCACCGGGTGAAAGGGGCCACTAAAACACTGTTATCCACATGTCATCACATGTGTACCTGGGAACTAACTGAACAGGAAGATTGGCCCTCTTTTGCTTTGCTTCTGTGGAAAATATTCCGATAAAAATGTGTCCCCTACTCCCACCCCAACAAGTATAAGAATTCCTGCCTCTGCAGTGAACTTAAGCAGAAGAAAAGGCCTAGGGCTGTTGCTTTTGATTAGCTGTAGCTCCCGTTCCTGAGCTCTTGATGTGGAGTGAGGAGTTATGTTTTAGTGCCCAGCACTGGCCCAGATTGGGGCTAGGGCTGGATGCTTTGCTTCAGTGCTAAGTTAGGCAGGAAAATCATAAATTTTTCTTTTCTTTCTTGTCTATCTTTGACAAAAGCATCTCAGTAAACTTGCTTCAGGCAGGAAGAGATGAAAGGCCTATGCTAGGGCATATCTATATGCATCTCTCACTGAGGGACCTGTCTATAGCAAGTGAGCACAGTACTTTGAAGGTAGGCATGTTCTGCTTCCTCGTGGGTCACCTTTTGGGTTCAGCTTTACAGCTTTATTCTTCTTTTCATGCTCCTGCCATACTTTCTTAAGCAGCACTCGTCTGTCACAAAAAGGTTTGGAAAAACATACTGGAATTGGTATGTACAACAATTGGTATGTATTTCTTCCTTGCTGAAGCCTAGGCGCACCTGGGATGAAATGCAGTTGACTGGCAACTCAATTCTGTTCAACAGGTTCAACTAACACATCCAGTTCATTATCGCTTTGTATAAAACGCCCCTCCTTTCTCCGTGCCACCCCGCTTTCTGATAAGCTTTCACTCATATTCTGTTTTATACTGGATTGCTGCGTCTGTTTGAAGGAATTAGCCGACAAGATGAGGAATTATTAAGGGTGAATTAGCAGATATTCAAGCCCTGGAATCCTTTCTGCCCCTCTTTGTGAAACTTAGGGGAACCCTGTTACCACTGAGCAGTCATTTTCTCTCTCAAATGTGGATTTTGGTTGGACTTGGCGGATGGAGCAAAGTTACTATTGGACACCAGTCAACCAAGGTGGATACAGAGGACTTACCTTCATCAAGTTTACCATGACCAGAAGATTTGGAGTCTACGCTAATCATTTAGACACTTAATCGTTGAGTGTAATCATTGTTGAGAGGTAGATGCACTTGAACCAGCTTCTGAAATGCCCATCTGATTTTTGTGCTTTGAACTGAGGAGTCACTTGGCCACTGGCTGCTGTAAGTGGGAAGGATGTAAGCAGGTAAGAGCACAATTACCTAGCTGGAAGTCCCGTTCTCGGCAGATGGGATCGATACTGTTCCTCACAGAGAGTGGGATTGCAGTGCCTATAAATGAACAAAACTTTCCAAAGTGGCCACTGCAGCTCAGTTTCTAAGGGTTCAGCTTGAGATGTCTACGAGGAGCGTGACTCTATGGATGGGAGATAGCCTGGCGCTTTCAGAAAACAAAGGCTTCTAAAAATCTCATAACTCAAAGGTCTGAAGCTGCCAATCACCTCTAAAAATTAATTAGGAACTGGAAAGTGTTGTCTTGCCTATATGGCTTTGTGCAGCACCCAAGTTTTCCATCCAAGTGCGCTCAGAGAGTGGGAGTTATTTGGATCAAATTGCTGAGAGGGGGTGGCAGCTCCTGGGTCCACATCCAACAGTGCTGGATATCCAGGTCTTCCCCCTGTGGCCCCTAGCTACCTGATGTGTTGTTATCCATTGGTGCATTGGAGGTAGCCATGTCATGGGGAATCTCCTGTTTCATCTTGGCTTTGTGGGTGGAAGCCCACAAATGTGATGAACGTGTTTAGGACAACAAGGAGTTAAGAGCTGTTTGTATTATCTCGTAAGCTTATCTTGGCAAAAAGATGGAGGGAGGGGGGATTTGAGAAGCAAAAATTAAATGTCAGCAGAACTGTGACAGACTTATATTCATATTTGGCAGCCTGCCATGAAGTTAGTAAAAAGCAAAATTATTGGCAGAGCTGCAGCAGAAAGACCAACTGAGCTCTTCTGGCTGAAGGAGTGTCTCTGCTTAACTGT